ATTATTGGTACGCGCCGCGACACGTGCGACTGTTTAATTAAATACAAAAAGACGCGCGTCTTCCGATCAACATTTGATTAACTAGTAAATATTCTAAATTACGCAGAGTACCCGCTTAAACTTTAATCCGGCGGGCGTCGGATAAATTAGATAACGCTATAAGCTCGATATCACCGCTATTACTATAAATTTCTCACGGCTACTTTTGTCTTGGCTAGCGCTGCCCGATGGCTCTTTCCTCAATGCAAATATTTAACGGACATTTTTTTGCTCGGTGTCCCCGGGGATTACCATAAAATGTAAAGTCCAAACCGGAAAATGTTAGTAGCAAAGCGAAATCCAATGGAACGCCGGACAAAATCAACAGATGAATTGCAAATATGTAGAGACTGTAAAGTTTGCTGAGCGGCGTTATTGGTAACAGCAGCGAGTATTTCTCTCTTTTGCTTTCTAAAGCTTCTTACAATATTTTGGGGAAAAATGAAAGTTTAAAAATATTTACCCGAGAGAATGAAAAATGAAATTATTTATTATGCGCAAAAGCGATACGTCAATTTATTGTCTCAATATTTCAACAGTTTATTCTACTTTATATTCGCGTGGCGAAATTTTATTCATATGGTGTTTACGTACACACATATACATCGCGAAAGAGTCAGCTGCGTCTCTCGAGGGAGAGCTGCTTATTAACAATAATTATTAGCGCGGAAAAATGAGCATTTTCAGTACGTTATTTTGGCTACCTCTTTATTACACGTAATTGCGTGGAAATTCGATCGCCAGGCGCGCAACCACGGCTGCTATTTTACAATGGAGCAGCAATGAAGCGCATTATGGCAGACAATAATTTATGCGCGCGATAATTGATAAATATACGCTCTTTTCGCGTGCTCAAAAGAAATGGAATACTTAAGAAAAATAAACTGAAAGACCACGTCAGCAAGTATCGGTCGCAGAGGAACCGTAACGCGAAGAGCGGCTAAAACGCGTTCCACTGGCCCAAATTGTACCCTCTTAAAATTAGTTGGTCGGAAAAGAGCGGAGAGACTAAAGCGAGCGTCAGTATGGATCCGATGGCGGGATGACGAGGGAAATGACACGGCTTTACCTCGGAGGTGGAAAGGTCTCGCGATATAAAGGGCGAGGGCAGTAAGACAGCAATCTACAGCTCGGTCCACCGAGAGCTGTAACACCAGTGGAATCGAACTTGTAATAAGGTACGTCTCGCCCACTCACCAGAACTCGATTGCTCCCCGGGGACGACTCCGCCGACTCTTGTCTTCCCTTCGCTTCCTTCTTCACTTCCCGCTCCTCCTCTCTCGCCCCCTTCCCCCCCCCGATAACCTTTCTGTGTTACGTATTTTCCGGACTCACGTAAAGAAGAAGTTTAGGAAGTTACAAGGCCACTCCGCGTTACATTTCCCCGTTATCGCCATTTTCTTAAGGTTACATCGGCGTGTCTGCGGAATTTCAATCTGGGCGCAAACCAAGACTCCCTACCCTTCTTCCATTCTCGGCGGAATTATTCTTTCTTTGGAAGAGGATACCGATTCCATTTGTCAAAAGTGGATTGGTACCCGGGAAAAGTACGTTCATTTTTTACGTCTTATCTGCGCGAGTTCCATGCTACGTAAAGTTTATTGCTGCCAAATAAACCGACTGCACCGATGAGAAATATTTGTAGCTGCACAACTTTTCTGCAGTGAATTATTTGTTATAGTTCCCTCCTGATAAATCTTCTTTGTTTATTATTTACAATAGAAACGATATATGAAAGAAATATAAAGCTACATAGACGGAAAGTTACGATTCTCTTTCTTTAAGTGTACTATTGATATAAAATAGCACTGAAACAGATTGCAAGTCTAAATGTCCAAACAATATTTTTAACTGACGCTGCCGTATCAAATATGTATTAAATTTTGTCTCTGCTCTAATAAATATTGACCGTGCTCGTAGACATATTGAGCAAAATCTAAGTTTACGAAGAAACATGTAACATAGAAATTATTAGAGGAAAAAGTGAGAATTTATCATGCGTAAAATCAACTCGCGCGTAAACGACAGTAAAATAACAAGCGTTTTGTATAATATTCGCTTATCTCTCGTGCTCGACGTTACTGGTAATGCACCGTACGATAATTATATTAATTTATATAGAATCAATATTAAACACATCCGGGCAATGTATTTTTAATGAAGTAAATACGTGGATGCATAATGTGCCGCGCGCTGAATATTACATATCGCAGGAAATAGATATTCGTAATGCAACGATACACGTGAAACCCGCAAAACTGCATTGCGACCCGCGATAATTATTCGAGATAATGAGGGAAATTCGTGATTGCCAGTTTGCGAGGGCCACCGCGCTAAAAAAAGGGGAGAGTCATTAGCGAATGCATTTCGACGAAAGAAATGGCCCGTCGTTTCGTTTGGAAGAAAAATGACTTTGCCCCATTGTGGCTCGGGGATTAGGATGAAAACACCTTGTTGAACAGGAGTAAAAGGCGTGCGAATTAAAGGACCAGTGAACGAGGCAGTAAGCAGATGTAAAGATCGGGAAAGGCCTCCGTTTCAGTGAAATGCTAACGAAATCGCGAGAGAAGGAGGACTGGACGTATTTTTCTCACGTAGTGATCGGAATGGAGGAATCTCGTTCTTGATCGAGGCCATTGTCGCTGGCGGCGATGCGAGAATTCGCAACATCGAACGGAAGACTCAAACTGATTCGATCGCCGAGAATACATCAATATAACAGCCGCAACAAAGACTACAGCATTAAGGAATAATGAAACGACGTCCACACTTTGCGAGAGGGAAGGATGGAAAGGTATAGGTAACGACGGACGGTTCCTCCGGTGGCGGCGGTCTTATCTTACGCCATGACGCCTCTTGCGTTTTCATTAAAAGCCCGCCCCGTCCCCTCGTTCTCGTTCCCGCCGCCGTCAACCCCCTCGTAAAAGGCGTGCCGTCCCGCGAAAAACAAAAGTCACAACAAATGTCAGCTAAGACACTCGATTCCCTTGGCATTTTTCCGCGACTTTCTCGCCACAGCGGCGCGATCGTCGCGCGAATTTCATTAAAATTTTATTACACAGCGAGAGGAGGACGTAACAGGAACGTGACAAGCGTTATTACTGCGTGCTTAACACTTGACATCTAACCAACTACTAGCTGCTAAATATTAATCAGAATTATACTTGTATTAATTTCATATCGATCGATAAATTGATAATTGCCTCGAACCAGTCACTTGCAATCGCGACTTAATATTGTATAAAGCGCGAAGGTACGTCTAGAAAACGTCTATTGAGTACACACGAGAGTTCGTACGGTTACTCAAACGTCGCGAGAAGAATGTCGCTCGCTGTTCTAATGCTGCAGACTATCGATAGTCGCCGCTGCGCGAGAGAGCGAGAAGGAGCGAACTGGTGAAACAACGAAGGGGGTAAGGATAATCCCTATTGTTTCTCCTGTCCCATAAATTCTACTAGCGCTTCCTACGCCTCTCCAGAGCTCGCGCCTTCAACCGTATACATGCAGGGCCTCCCTACCCGCCGCCGTTTTCTACCATCCCCCTTCCCTTCTCAGCAACATGCTTCGTAAATCTCTGACCAGCTGTGCTTTATGACACGTACGCGCTTCTCGTAAAGATACAAAGGAGTCTTATTCGTCACTTGACAACTGGCGTTGTTGGAACTGTTTAAAAATCAATCCCACCGTCACTATTCGATGGGCAAATGTTGCTCTTCGACCATCAGCTTGCGATACTATTATTACGTATTACAGTAGTTCCAAAGAACATTTTCTCTTTTATTTAGTTGACATAAATATTGTACCCCTGAATTTTTGTTAATTCTTACTTTTAGTATTTCTGTATAAGAAATAGTAGTTCCTAGAGAGCGAGAGGGGGGGGGGGGAGATAGAGAAGGGATTTTCTCTTTTAGTTAGTTGACATAAATATTGTACCTCTGCATTTTCATTAATCCTCACTTTTAGTAATGTAGTATTTCAATTAAGAAATGAACAGTTTTTTGCACTAGACTATTAGCTGCAGCGCTGGTAATAATTTATGATAATATTGTGCGATTAACTCATATAATAATTATGCTGTAGCCACATAATATTAATTTTACATACAGTTAATAATTTATTTGTACATAGAGTAACCACATCGCATAAATTAATCATATTGTCATAAGTTTATCAGACAATTAGAGAGAGAATTATTTTTAAGAAATTTTATTTCGAAACTTTCATTCAATTAGAAAGACAAGCAATAATTAGTGAATGATTTAGGAAAAAAATATTGCTACAATCCCAGATATTTCGATCTGCTCTCGCGATCTCGCGGATATATTAGATATTTGTCGTTAATGCGAAATGATTTGTCAAAAGTATTTGATATTCCGTATACATACAATATTCGCTTCCATTTGTCACACAGAGATAAAGTTTCCACGAAATATATCTTTTATATATGTATGTATCGCACGACATTTCCATAACGGCGTTTACGATTCCTGAGGCTTTGACAGGGGTGCTTTGCACTCCTAACACGCCACGGGGTTCACTATGAGGTCTTGTATCAAATATAGGTTACTTCGATCGTCAGTAAGCTGCTTAATTTATGACAGCGGCTTCGGTAAATAAGATGCTTTACTAAAGCTGCATGTTTACCGTACTCCTTATCCAACAATATAATTCAGATTTAATCTTTTCGCGAAACTACTAAACAAAGCTTTCATTATGCGCTTTTTACGAGAAGCTGATCAATAAAGGCATTTCATAAAAATATATAGACCTACGAGTGTTAATAACCAGCATACAAATTGAATAAAATTAATAGGACAATCCCAAACGGAATATATAATAGATCAGATAAAATTATCTAGTTCGCACCTAATTAAATATAATAATTAAATTGTAAATTAGCTTGTAATTAATTTTATTAAAATCTCTCCGTCTTTCTCTGACCAAGTCCTTTTGTGTTTCAGATCGAAGATGCTATGCTGATGTTCGATAAGCAAACTAACAGGCATAGAGGTAAGTGCATTCTTTTCTCCAGCGTCGTACATGATCACGAAAAAATCATTACGATTTTGTTGTGTACAAATGTGTCAGAAATATGTCTGAAACTATTCTGTTTAATCAGTCAATAATGTCGCCATTCCATCGGCGAGGTAATTAACGAGCCGAGTTGAAGCTATAATTAGTAATCACGGTAAATCGCGAGCCGCGGTAAATACGGGGAAAGATAAATAACATAAATTTCGGGATATGTGCTGCCTACACAAATCGTGACGGCATTTTGCGAATTCATGGTACGCGGATCGATAGTCGCATAGAAGAACTTATGCAAAGCATGAAGGAACGCGTGATTGGGAGCAGAATGAAAAAAAAAGGGAAAACTGTTGAAAAAAAGTGATTCTTACTGCGTTTAAAGCCTCAAGAGAGTAAGCGTTGCGCTATTTCAAACACATGCACATACACATGCCTAGCATTTTTATATAAATCTATAAAAGTTTCGCCTGTATATGAAATGATTAATGATTGCAAATCTTATTTTCCATGCCGATCTTATAATAATTAATGTTTGAAACTATACAACTCTAAATTTCTGTGTAAAACGAAGTCTGTTTAATTTGGTACCTGGCTAATAATTTATAATAATGTGGCTTCGTAGCTATCCCGCGCGCATGTGTGTGTGTGTGTGTGTGTGGCTAATAATTAATGAAAACAAAAATCGTTCTCAGAAAGATTAATTTTTAATCAATTATTGAATCCAGTTTCACGATTTATTAATCTGCTAATGCCGATTTAATTAATTGGAGTCATTTTCAGTGTACTAATATATGTACGCTTAAAAATATCGTAGAACTCTAATTGCAATAACAATTCATTCATTAGTTCACTTTTCATACTCCAATGAAGAGTCTTCAAATCTCTTATTTATTCCCATTCTTATTTACGTCCTTCATATTCTTATCACAATTTAACGTAAAATCCGAAAATCATTGAGATTAAGAGCCTCCGATTTCAAGTAAAATGTACGGGTCTAAGAAATTTTTACGCGGCACTTTGCAAACGCGGTAGGGACGAAGAAGAGAGAGGAACGGAATGGAAACGTTATTGAGATCGCGCGAGGAGCGCATGCCCAATTGAAAATCGACTGGGCAAGGTAGAAGGGTGGAGATCGAGAGGTCGCGATGAATGAAATATCGCGGCGGCCGCGATAATATATAGGGCAGCCTCGACTCTCAGCCGTTCTCCGCTGTTGAGAGCATAGCAGGGCTTGCGATCGGCACAAGTCTGGATCCATTCACGTCGTCGCTTCAATAGGGTCGATAATCGTCAGCGATCGCGGTACCCCACCTTGCCGATAATCGGGGGGGGGGAGCATCTCTCCCTCTCTCTCTCTCTCTCTCTCTCTCTCTATCTTTTTTTATCGATACCACCTTATAGCTGTTGGTTCTAGAGCGGAGGCAAGCGTCTACTCAGGTTCCGATGATAGATTCTAATATCGCTTATGAAAAATAGGGGCAAATGGGATATGAGAGCCTGGCTCTTCAGTACCACGGAGGGGGGTTCTTCCTATCCCGACTAAGTTGCTGAGAGGGTCGGAAGGGGCGAGCGCTGAAGGTGCGTCGCGCATCGCGCGAACGGCGAGGTAGGAGTAGCTGAAATAGCGACGCGCGGGTCGACGCCGGTGGATGAAGGGCGGTGGAAGAAGGGCGAATGGAAGTGGAAGTGAGATAGGGGGGCTCTTTCAAAGCCGCACGTAATCTCTCTCGTGATGACATCCAATACCGTCCCCGTACGACGAGAGTCTGCGAACCTCAAACCTCGAGCTCGGCTGCTTCTGCTTCTACTGCTGCTGCTGCTGCTGCTGCTTCTGCTGCTGCTGCTGCTATTGCTCGCTGGCAGATTTCGCGATATGGCACTTCTGCACCCGGTCCCTGACCCCTAAGGGGATCATTCTCGGATTCTCCGGTAGACATACCGTGAGAAATTTCAAACGAAATACGCGCAGGAGCGACGAGGATATTTATTACACCACACTTGATATTTCTTGATCGGCCAGTCACGCGTGAGCGAGAGCTCACATACACGTGTACACATATCCTCATGTTTATCAGAACATTCTGAAGACGCCTTACTCATGCTTCGTGCCACCTTTCGGTTTCGCACGGGAAATTTTGTCAGCAATATATTTATGTAATTTTATCACTTCAACGACTACGCGGGACTATAATTGTGCACTACTTATATTTCAGATAGTTCTTATAATAAAGATTATTAGACACCGAGCTTGTTAATATAATGAAATTGAGGTTCGTGGACTAGTTTCTTAAAGCGTAGATAGATTATATCTACACTTATATATAATACATTGCATTTTTATAATATTAGATCCGAATTTGCTTCTTTCAGGATCTGATTTTGACAGATTTATTTCATCGCCAACTTATATTTGAACTTGATCGGTCGGAATAATATTTATCAGGACTTCTCCTATCGTGCCTTTTTGAAGGGTCTAATATAACCCACTTATATAATGCGCTCTGAATAATATCGATGACTATTTTTCCGCGATCAGTATCCAATTCTAAACTCGGTCCTCAGTGATTGTAATACTTTTTTCAAATACATTCGATTTCGATCTGCGTCCGATCGACGCGGCGCGTCTCCTCAAACGTCGCCGTCGAATTACAAGGAGATCCTCTTCCGAGACAATCTTCCGGGAGGTCTCTTTACGCTCAAATCCCCGAAGAGGCAGTCGGCTAGCGGCCGTCTTACCTCTCCACCACTCGCCCCCTTACCACGTTGTGGAGGGAGAAAAGAGAACTCCGCCGAGAACAGCCCGGCAAGCGTTTCCGGACAATTTCGAGTCCCGATGGCTCCCGCAGCGAGCTATGATTTCCACGTGGATGGGCACACTGCGATTGCAGCAAAGCGAGCTCTCTCTCTCTTTCTCTCTCTC